TACTCAGCTGATCCTCTGTGGCCGTACATTTGCGTCGTTTGTAGAAGTATTGCTGCTTTCAGCGGCGGCGTACTTACACCTTTGTGGGGTTTTGCCAGTGTACCTTTGGGACCGTTCCTACAAGTTGGTTTGCTGGGTCATGCACGTTGCTGAGAAACAAGGCATATGTTATTTTGCTCGACGTTGCCCCAGTTCTCTCCGCAGGGATTGTAGCGTTTTGTGTTTCTGTCAGCAGTGTGTGCAGTTAGCTCATGCCCCACAGCCACCTAATGGAGTGTGTTGTCAAACTGGGACTTTGGTAATTTGATAGGTAAGAAATGGTATCTCTGTGTGATTTGAATTTGCATGTCTCATTATGAGCAAGATCAAAGGACCAATTGCGTTTCCTTTTATATGAATTCTCTGTTCACTTTTCTTGCCTTTTTTTGTAGATGTGCTGGGTCTTTCTCATCTCTTTTGAGAACCTGTGTATTAGGGATAGTAACCTTTGCCTCTGAGACAAGTTGCAAATTTTCCTCCTGATTGTCTTTTTTACTTTTTTATTTACTTGCTTTTCATGCCGTACAATAGTTCTTAAAATTATTATGATGATTTTCATGTAGCCAGGTTAACCCATGTTTTTCTCATTGCTTCTGGCCTCAGAGTCATGACTTGGGAGCGATTCCCCCAGCCCCGGGGGGAATAGAAAAACTTAATCATGTCTTCTTTTCTATTTTTTTAAAATGTAGATTTCTGGTCCTTCGTGAACTTATCAGCAGAGTACTTTTGGTGCACACTGTGCCTTGTGATTGGCTACTTGTGTGAATTTAAGCTATAGAAACAGGCCCTTTGCTCACCTCTCCAGCTTGCCTTCATGCAGAGACTCCTGACCTCTTAGCATTTGCAGAGACCCGGATGTTTATTTTCGGGGAGAAGGAATGGAACTGTGGGGAGAAGGGACTTAAGCAAGGACCCAGAGCTCCATGCTGGGACTCTGGTTCTAGCCGGCCCTGGAGGAGAAGGTTTGTGAGGCTCTGGAAGAGATGGTTTGTGAGCTTCTGGTGCGCATTGGCCCCTGAGCCGGGCACGGTCACCGCTCTTGTTTGCTCCCAGGCTGCGGCCTGGTTGTCCCCCACTTACAGGTGTGGAGGCTGAAGCAGAGGGGTGGGGTTTGCCCGGGACCTCAGAGTCAGCAACAGGCCATCGGGCTGGACACCGAGGTGGCCGCCGGGGACCTGGGGCCCTCTCACTGGGGAGGGAGGCCTCTGTCGGCCTCCACGGGGCCAGCGATGATGCATGCGGCATTGAGCACAGCGCTCTGCTTCTGCCTCCCACCCCCACCACCGTCTCAGAGTTCCCAGGGAGTCAGGTCTCCTTCGTCTCCCACGTCCAGGGCCTCAGGCGGACCCTGTGAATGGTGCCTGACGGGGCCAGTGGCGGCGGCCTCACGTGTGCTGGCTCCTCCCCAAGTGCCGGGATATTGCTGGGAGCCGGAGACCTCAGTGTGCCTACTTGGCGAACTTTCCTTTTGTTCACAAATCCGGTGGTTAATCCAACACACCTGAGTAATGTCCGCAGCCCGCAGAGCCCGCACTGCCCAAAGGCAACCCAGTGTCACAGATACACGGTCCTGTGGGGCAGGCGGGTGGCTGAGGGAGCACGGCGTCCCGCGGGAGCCAGAGCAGTGTCTCCCCTTGCGTTTCCTCAGGTTTGGGTGCAGGGGAGTGGTGGGTGGGGTCAGGGGGCCAGTACACCCCAGTCTTCCGTCGCTCTGAGGTCCAGCAGCGCTCAGAGGCAGAGGTTCGCCCCTGTCGTCCAGGCCTCCCGTGGTGACGACCAAAAGGCCAGGACCCGAGCCTAGCCTGCGCCCCAACCCCACATACTTGGGAAGTGGCAGGGACACGAGGCAGGGAAATCTGTGCTTTGGATGAACCAGAGTCAGCCCGGAGTTTCCCAGGTCTGTCCGGAGGACCAGGCAGTCGTGGGATTTCAGGGATGTCCGGTGATTTTCATCTTGCCCGAGTCTGCCATGGTGTGGATCACGTCTGCCACCTGCCCCAGCGCCAGAAACCTTCGGCCCAGTATCGGCTTACCTGGCAGAGGCCCCCGGTTGTCAGAAGAGTCCGGGCGGGGCTCCCTTCCGGGTCCTGCCGGCGAGGGGTGCGTGGCGCCGTCCCACGCCCCTGGGATGGGATGTCCCAGCTGTCAGTGTGATTGAGGTCGCCATAAAACCCACCAGCTAGACACACAGATGGTTCCTCTGCTCTTTGCCGGGGCAGGAGCCGTTGTGAAGGCGAGTAGATCACGTTCGGCAGCGACCGCTTCAAAGGTCAGCCTTCTCTTGGCAGGGATCGCCCGTCACAGGCTTGTTTCCCGGCCACTCAGTTTTATGGCGCCCCGACGAATCGGGCCGTTTGCATCCATTCTCAGGAAACGTGCAGAACGGTGGTGTCCATTCTTCTGGAAAGCTCATCTTGGGAGGCAGGTGTGGCGCGCACAAGCCGAGGGCCGGCACCTTGCTCCTCCCGGGCCTCCGTGTCACCCTCCGGCTGTCCCCATGAGGTAATTTGTGTGGAACCCCGGGCCGGCGCCGCTTCCTGGGCACTCAGGGAGAGCCCTCTCCTTCCTCCGTCCTTGCCTGGGTCAGTGTGTTTCCCGAGCCCCTGTGGGGGTCACCGTGCGGTGGCCGGAGGGGGGCTGCAGCGAGAAGGCCAGAACCGCCCGCAGGAGCTCACGGCCCTGCCCGGGAGCTGGGACCCGCCCGGCGTCTGTGGGTGCTCTCCGGTGGCCATTCTGTGTGGGCCACTCCGTGCCCCCAGAGAGGACAGGCTGCCCAGGGCACGGGCCACTTCCAGGGACATGAGTCGGGCCAGACATACTCTTCCCTTGGCATTTACTGCCCCGGCCATCTCTGGATTCGCTGCTCCCCCCCCTGAATGGTGGGGATGGAGAGGGCTTTGGGAAAAGGGGAAGGAGGGCGTTGAGGACTGATGCGGCCGAGGCAGATAGAGGGTGGCTGGTGGGGAGGGTGTCGAAGTGAGGGGTGACTGTCATGGCACTGGGGTGGGAGGAGCTGGCGAAGAGAAGGCTCCAGAGCTGTGATTATGGGGCACCACTCCCTCCCCTCCCCTCCCCTCCCCTCTCTTCCCCACCAAAGTGGATTCTAAACGTGGCCTTGGGGTGGTGCTGTTGTGAGTCCGGATGCTGTGCAGACTGACACGATTGGATACTGGAGACTTCGAGG